TCTAGACACTCAAAATAATTATTTCACATAAAAAAGCACTATTCACACACAAAAAAAGTCAATAAAATATTCATCAAGTACAAAAAAATTCATTTAACAAGACTCGAATATTCTAACACCTCTCTAGCAATTTTTCTATACATATAAGGAAATTTTCACACATGTTTAAAATATATTAATTCATTTATTTATAGGTTCGGGGCATTACAAAAGTACAAGAAAAGAGAAAAGGGAGATTTTGTTTGTTGAGAGTAATAAAGATAATCAAAATTAAACAAAGAGATAAATAAGAGTATTAAAAGCCTTGGTCAAAGATAGTCTCCACTTTTGGTTCAATCGTTGATAATTGATTAAAAAATTAATCCATTCTTTTCATGAATATTCACCTTATAACAAAACGAGCTATGGTATCCCTAATCTCTCCTAAGTGATTCATTAATTAAAATGAGCTATTTAATTAATTTCTAACTATTGAACAACCTAGAACGAGCTATCTAGATTTAATCTAATAACAGATTTAAGTAATAGAAAGATAGGTGAAGCTAGACAATTCATACACGAGCTAAGAGAATTTAATCTAGTTCTATGTTTTTTTTCAAGAATTAAATGAAAACTTATGCATAATCATTAATCCCTAGTTGCTAACACAAGTAAGATTAGACAAGTAATTACAAACTTAAATTCATAACTAGTAATAGATCATATAGATCAATCAATTAATATGGACCCTAATCAATCAATCAACATAATCATATTTAACTATAATTTAAAAAATATAAAATATCCAAAAAGAATTAGATTAGAAGTAGAACTCATTTAGATCTCACAATTATTTAACTAAAAACTTTAACTTTTTCTTCAACCAAGCAAAAGTATTTGAAGTTGTATGGTTTTGCTTATAAAAGCTTTTTCTCTATCTATGGTTACGTGAATGAATCTCCCTAAAGTAAAACCCTACTTTTTTATATATATTCTTACAATCCATGCAAAAGTAGGATTCCAATACATGGAGCTACCTCATATGGACAACTATCATGGCATATGGTTTGCTCACTTTAGACATACGATTTGCTCTTTGGACATACATAGTTTGGAGCCTTGTATAGATACCGGCACACAGCTTGCTTGATCGAGCAGATGGCCATGTCACATTTGCTTTTCATCTTGTGTCTTTTAAGCATCTACTCGTATGGCTTTTCTTTCTCCCTTGAATGATAGCTTAGTGGTGACACACACGGACGTGTCATTTCCTCTATACAAGCTATGCTTGTGCCTACTACCATGTGTGTTCTTATACAAACAAACACACGATTCCCTCTTAGTTCCATATAGCCGGGGGCTTTTCCTCTTGCATGACACTTGACCTTGTGTCTCCTTCCTTTAACTTGGCTTTGCATGTTGTCTCCATTGAGTCCTTTGTGGGCTTCGAGCTTCTATGCACCTTGGCTTGGATTTATTCACTTTGATTTGCCAATTTTCTTGCAAAATCCAAAATCATTATCTTGTTCTTAATTGGCTTAATACAATACATAAAGTACTAGTAAGTTTAATATAAAAGGAAATAAAAATTATATAAATTATGCAGTGATCATGTAGGTAAAGATGGACAATGTATGATGGCTTATTTCTCTCTAAAGATCATTGTTAAGGGCTTTCCATCCATTCGTCGTGTGTATCTTACTTGTAGGTGCAAGCTAAAGGTAGTTCATATATATATATACATATTTGTATGTTGGGATAATGTTGTATATTTTTGGGTTAGAAGTATTGTTTTATCATTTTCAATAGATTACGGGTTAACTAGATCGAATGGTAAAAATATAGTACTAAGTAGTATAGATCTAAATATTTAAATTGCGTGTAAAAATGGATAACCACTTTTATAGTATTTTGATGCTAAATGGTGTAATACTTATATTATATTGTTAAATTGTTAATTGGTTAGAAACTAAAGTCTTAATGGTAAAGAATATAGAAATAAAAGGGTAAGGTAAAAATGGTTACAAAGGTTAAAGAATAAGGTAAAATTTAATGGTTAATGAATTAATGAATTTCATGGGTTAGTTTAATAGGTAAGTTTAAATTAAATTGGAACTAAAGTTTTATAAGCCCAAAAAATGTTTAAAATCATCAAAACTCAAATTAAGGGTCTAAATAAATTTATTATGTTTTAAACTTAATCAATTAATTAATTTTCTAGCCTATGTAATTTTTAGAAAAATAATAGCATTAAATCAAGATTTAATGATTTAATATGTAATGAATATTTTCTAATTAAATTAATTATGTTGTAATTAAATGGATTTTTGAAAGAAATATTGAAAATTGAGTTTATTAAGCTAATTGGTTTATTTTCATATTGATTATCTTTTATTTTAATTAAATTCAAATTTTTAAAAAGGATTTTAAGAAAATTAAGAGACATGATAGTATTCACTTTAATTTTAGATATTTAATTTAAACGATTAAATTGAAATCCAAGAACACGATTTTTCATCCAATTTTGATATTTAATATTTCTATATATGTTGTAGGAATATTAATTGATATTTGAATCTAAGAGCTTGTAGGTCGGTGATAGTGGTCTCTTGTAACAAAAGGTCACGGGTTCAAATCCTAATAGACTAGGTTTATTTGGAGCCTTGAGTGTGTGATTTAAAAAAAAATATTAATTGGTGTTAGAGAAATTTTTATACCTAAGTTTTAATTAATATGGACCTATTATTTCTTATTTATTAGGGATCTCATACAAAAACCATCACTTTCGTTAGCAATTTTGTAAGTTAAGGTGAGGAGGCTTGTCGACTTGCATTCATTGCATTTAGAATATAAGTTAACACAAGCCAACATCGATAATACTCTTGACCTATCTAGGTCCTAGGTCGAGGGTGTTACATTATTGCCTACTGTATTTCAAGTGTTGAAACAATGTGAGAGATAATACTAATAATTTACAAGAGTATATTGTTGTATGTATTTGATGTGTTCTTTTTGTTTGGTAGCAGCTGATATTTATAGCTTTTACATCCTTCTTTACTAGCCACATTCTTAGATTGCAACATCTAATAACTTCCTGTCTTGATCTGCAATGCTCATCCACCTATATTCTTGTTACTATTTTCCTTATGAATAAGATTTGACTTCCCATATCTTCTGTCCATTATGCAATTATGTTTGGAATTGTATTCAACCTTACTCGTCTTCTACATATAACGCTCTTTTGGGGATTTTATTTATTATTTATTTATTTATTTATTTGAGTAGTGAGCTTTCCTTGTGGACTTGATATTTGGTAAGTCTGTCTCCCTTAGTAGCCATGACCAATGCCTCATTTAACTTTTTTTAGTTTGTTGGGCTATCATATCAATTAAATTTGGATCTAACAAAGATGTATATTGCATATCTATTGTTGAACATAAAACAAAGAAAAAGTATCTAATATCAAATCTATCCATTTTAAAGCCCCTTAAATTGTTTAAAAATTTATTTTAATATAAAGGTTGAATTATGTTTCATTTGCGCTCTTATTACTTTTCAATCAAAGTTCTTTTAAATTAAAAATATTAAATCATTTGATATAATTTGTACTTTTTTTGTAGTACAATTAAAATTTTTAAAGGGATATGCATCTAATTTTCTAAATTATATATATATATATATATATATATATATAATGATGTTAATAATTTTTATTCAATTTTTAATTGATAAAAAGCTATACAAGAAGTCAATTAGATTGAACATATACATGTGTTTGGGTTGGATAGATGCGATATAAAACAAATTGAGTAGAAACAATACAATTTATAAATAAATTTGTGGAAGTGCGGAAGTTAGGTGTTAATTGCATTGAGATTTTAGCAAATTGTTTTTCATTGATATTGGACCTAATATCCTTTTTTGGTTTTTGCACGCAAACAAACGCAAATACTAAGAACAACATAGATATAGGTTTTTTTTTTTTTTTCCTTGGGTTCACAATATAAATAAATTTAATTACATTGATTAGGATAAGTCATCAAAATATATATATATATATATATATATATATATATATATATATATATATATATATATATATATATATATATATATTAATTACCATAATACATGTGCATTGTACATGATCAAATTAAATTTACACATAAATGGATTATAAAAATTGGACCACCTAGCAAATGAGTATAGATGACTAGACGGATATTATACGAACTTTAACAATAATTTTTTTTTAATTGTAAAGAATAATAAGTTGTTTTTAATGTAATTTTTAGGTTCAAAATTAAGGATTCTTAAATATTATATAGGTTATTTGCTAATGATTAACTTTACGGCTTTTTAGTTACAAACTAATACAAGTGAATATTTCAAATTGTATATAAAAACATCTACAAAAATATATTAAAAACTCTAAATTATGTATGAAAGTACAGAGAGTATTCAAAAAAATATTTTAATATACCAGTAGGCTCCCATGTTATGAGGGTCTTAGGATTAGTTGCTCTTGTAAAACAATAAAACGAGGAATTTTATGTTTCTTATAGATTAATTAGTATAAATTATTTCATATGAGAGATAAACAAAAAAATGAGAGAGAAATAAAAAAGAGAAAATTAAAAAAAAATTAAGCTTAGATAGAAATTTTTTTATCTCTAGATGAATTTGGATATAATTTTTTTCTTATAAAATGAGTTTATAAAGTAACCAATAGGTGATTATTTTAAAATTTCTCCATAAAAATTCCCTTCAACCGGAACTTTGCAGCGAATGACAAGCGTAAACGGGAAGCAATTGAAGTGGAATAGATTCTTTGGAGGCAAGAAGAGCTAAATACCCAACTTGAACTGTGCTTTACTTAAGCCGCAAACATTAGCAAAGGAAATCGACCCAAAGAAGCAAACCCAATTCCCACGCCACTCCCCTCCCTCTACTTCCCTTTTATATATATATAGACAAAAAGAAAGAAAACCCAAACCCTCTCGCTGCTTTGCTGCCGATGAATGGATAGTTCGAATAATAGAAGCGAGGAAATGGAAATTAAAACAGAGATAGCATTCTTCGACGTTGAAACCACAGTTCCGACCAGGCCCGGCCAGGGCTATGCTATACTTGAATTCGGAGCCATTCTTGTCTGCCCCAAGAGGCTAGAAGAGATGAGGAGCTACTCAACCTTGGTCCGACCCTCCAACCCAAACCTCATATCTTCATTGTCCGTACGGTGCAATGGTATCACCCCACAAGCCGTGGCTTCAGCACCATCCTTCGCAGACATTGCTGACACGGTCTACGACATTCTCCATGGGAGGATATGGGCGGGACATAATATAGTGAGATTTGATTGTGTGCGAATAAGAGAGGCTTTTATGGAGATCGGAAGGACAGCACCAGAGACAAGGGGGACTATTGACTCTTTAGCATTATTGACTCAGAGATTTGGAAGGAGAGCTGGTGACATGAAGGTTTTGATTTTTGTTGTTTTTTTTTTTCTTTGATTCGGTTGTCGTCGTCGTTGTTAAGAATAATGATGTTTGTTTGTTTGTTTGTTTGTTTGTTCCGCTGCGAATTGATATCAGATGGCTAGTCTTGCAACTTATTTTGGGCTTGGCAACCAAACACATAGGTAAAATAATTAATTCCTTGCCTTGATTTCATGGAATTCCCATTATTTAAAGTCATGCTTTTTAATGGAGTATTTGAAATGAAATGATGTTTTCATATTTTGCTCAGGAGTTTAGATGATGTAAAAATGAACCTTGAGGTTGTTAAGCATTGTGCTACTGTTTTATTCTTGGTAAGTCCACTCCATTCCATCCTTCTAACTAACCTGTCCCTCTCTATGTTTTTTCACTTTCTCATCTCAGAATTTAGTGCTTAATGGATTTACTGTTGCATTCTTTTATATATGATATGCTTGGCTAATTGGCTTATTTCTTTTCTTGTTAAACTGCATAATGACTCCATTATTACTTAAAGCAAGCCATGAACGGGACAAACATCCTAGTCATTTTGAATGATGGTTAAATTGTGTGGCCATCAGCTTCCATGTTTTATTTGTTTGCTAGGCAACAACTAACCAAAAGCTGCCCTATTTTTAGGAATCAAGCCTTCCAGACACATTTCCTGAAAAACATTGGGTTTCCCCTAATGCTACCACAAGAAGTCGTAGAAATGGAAAATCCCCAGGCCTAGACACGAATGCTTCATCTTCGAGTTCACAGATTAAAAGCACCCCTGCTCTGTCTCCAGAAAAAGATAGAACTGCAGAAAATCGTCCTAACTTTTCTCTTCTTACAAGCAGCATTGCTGAGGAGGTACCAGATTCTGTTGCATCTAATGCAGCTCGACAAGATCCATTTGACATGGTCTCACTTGGCAATGAAATGAATACTGCCTCTCTTCAACCAGATGTCGCCATGGAGCAAAACCCTATGCTTCAGTCTCATGAGATGCCTTCTACGGTGACTGTCCCTGAAAGTTGCAGTGGCTTTGTGGATTTTTTAGAGCTGGATGAAGTTTCTGTTCCTTCTATTAAAGCATTTCCTGTCCCATTCTTTCACGGGAGTCAAAAAATCAAATTATTTTACGAGGGGGCCATTTTGCAGATTCGCTGTCCTAAGTTGAGAATACGGTTCGGATTAAGTACAAAGTTTTCTGATCATGCTGGCCGGCCACGGTTGAGTTTTGTGGTTGATGCATCACCAAGTTTATGTAAAGTTCTCGATGCATGTGATAGCATTGTGCAGAAAGTGTTTGCAGATTCCGGTTGTTGCTCTGATTGGAGGAGTGTTGTTATCAGAAAACAGGGCTTTACCAACTACCCTACTGTGAGATTGCAGTAAGTTTCAGTCCTCTTATCCCCTGTCTTTGTAACATTTGCAATGTCCAAGTTTAGGAGTACAATCAAAATACTGTTGTCCAACGATATTGTTCCTTGGTGGGACTTTTCAGTTCAGTTATTCAAATCATGACCTTTTTTTGGAACAAACTGAAAGATTTAATTCAAGAATTTTAAAAACCAAAATCAAATGGATGGAACTGTCTAACTAGTTTTTTGTTCCACCAGTTTAATCAACTGATGCAATGGTTGATTTTCCATTTTTCCCTTTTTACTTTTTTCTTATTTAGGATGTATTCATATCATCTTAGTTTACATGATTAATGGGTTGACTAAGTGGGTCACTTAGTGTAATGCTCAGTTGGTTTGATTCAGATAAATGTGATTCTTCTAACAAAACCCAGAATTTATCCGAAAAGTTGAAACTATTCGGAAAAAAATCCGTACCAAAATGCAACTGACCGGTTTGATAATCTATTTCTTAGAGCATTCTAGTTGATTTTGGTTTATCTGTATAGGTTTCCTTGTACACCCCTAACTTGGATCTACTTTTTTCCATTTAGCCATTACCGAGTTTATTGTGCATTTCCCATAAAGGATTGTGGTAGGATTCCTTAAGAATAAAAGGCAGAATATAACCAGAATGATTGAAGGTCCTAGTTGGTTTTATATGCTTGTTGAGCCATGATCTCACATTATTTTTCCCTGACATGTTAAGCTCTACTTTGCTTGCTTCTTCCAATTTCAAGGCTCATGCTTTTAGGCTTACTGTTAATAATGAAGTGAGAAAGAACTCAATTATTGCATGTAATCAACAATACTGCCTTATTGATACAAGCAATGATACTTGATACTTGTCTAATTTTGTTTCTCTCTTTTCTCAGCATACCTACCAGAGTAAATGGGGATATTGCTCAATATGCAACGGATATATATCAGAAAGAACCACCTGGAACCACACAAAAGCTCATATTCAGTAAGTTCGACCCTACAGAGCTACATAACTGGTTCAAACCAGGGACCTTTGTCGATTCATTCTTGTCCTTGGATCCATACGACTATCAGCAGATTACTGGCATCCGTTTAGTTGCAAAAAAATTAATCATCCATAATGAGTGATGCACAAGGCCTAAATTTATTGAAGACAATTTGGTTGATTAAACCTGTTACAAGCTTCCTAGCATGTAGAAAAGAAAGATAAATTCGTTGCTTGCCAGATTAGGCCCATATCTATATTTGAAAAGAGTTGAATGCTGACACTGATACTTCTATATTTAACCGTAATTTGTTGAGAAGTGTCTTGTATTGTTAATTATTGAACCTCTTATCTTTAATTTTAAATGTTTGCAGCTATCAAACTGTATTGAGATTTCGAAGTTACTTGAATATACACTGCTTAAAACAAAAACAAAGAAATCCCTCTACTCAATATTCCCAATGGAAATCTCCAAAACAAAGAAAATTCTCCTGCAGAAGAGTGTAATGATCTTGCAATTGCGTTATACTAAAAAAATATCCAATTTTTGATTTGGGCTGGAAAACCCAACAAATTAAAAAAGAATTGTTAGGACATGCTCAATCCAGGCCCAAGATTTAATCAAGAGTTAAAAAGTTTCTAACTCAAGGCCTAATTTCCAGTTAATACCCAACTGATTGCAAAGGTTTGGTTTGTAACAACGAAACTGAAGGATGTTTGAGAAAAACATGGAGCATGGACTTTTAAACACGATTGAATCATTGATAAAATTAAGAGATAACAATCCTAATAAACAAGAAACTAGTTAACAAGCAATTAATAAAGAATTGGCTAGAATTTAGTGGCAATAAGACACAATCTTGACAGTTACAAAAGAATGTGAAATATTTCAATGTAGAATGTCAAGTTGCGAAGGAATATGGAGCATTACAAGAGTGGACGATAAAGTACGGAAGAACATGGTCCATTGTAGTTTCATAAGGGATCGAGAAGTCTATAAAAACAAACTACAACACAATAAAACAAAACACACAATACAATATACAAAGAAACTCAATTTGCAATTTGCAAACAACTCATAGAGTATTCTCCAAGTTTCAACATGCTTGAAACTTGTTATGTTATAACTTGTAAGTAATAATTTATAGGTTGCAATCAAATAGGAAATAATTCAAAGATAGTAATCAAGTAGGTTGATAATTTATAAGTTGATAGTTTGGTTATTGCTTTCCATCTTGTATCCACAAGTTGTGATCATGATTTTCAAGAGTTGAATTCCTAAGGAGTTGTTATGTCCGCAATACTAAATATATAAGCATTCTTCATCATTAATGAATGTAAGTTTTTGTTTCAGCTTTATACATTATTAAGTTTACAACCTTATTTTCGAGCATGTAACTTGTTTAATTTTAAGATTCAAAGTCCGAATGGAATAGTTATTTAAATTGTTGATTTGAGATAGTTATATCTATGAGTAATCATCATTGCAAACTTGCAACATAGTTTGTCTAGGAAAATTGCAAGCCATTTCTAAGGTTTGCAAACTAATTATAACTTATTTTATTTAATTTTATATTAAAGAAAATACTAAAAAAATTCTTTAAATGAGTAATAGGATATGTAACATAGTTAATTAAATCCCTTAGATTTCGAGTATGAAAATTGGATCATCTTGTAGATCACTATCCAACCTTTAAAATCCTTTAGTTGAGACAAACACAAAAGAACTTGCAAAACAAACTGGTGATCACAATGTAAGTGTTATTCTATATGGTACCAAAAAAGATAACAAGAGTCTCATAAGTTTGGGACAATGATACAAATCATCCCTTTATTATAGTTGTTGTTGTAGAGAAGATGGGTTAGAATCAACTAGAGAAAAAGAGATAAATGTTGTCCTCGTTCTCTTATTAATGGAAGAGAGGAAAATTCAACTAGAGGCTAGATTTAAAAAGCTTGCAAATTGATAGAAGTTAAGTGTTAGACCTTAACCAAACAGATCGAGGATAAACACAAACTAAAAATAGAAATGATAGAAATTAGTATAATGCATTGATGTTGGCCATTAACGGATCTACCCATACTTTAATAGAGTCAATCATTAAAGAACAAGAAGATATTGTCACTGGAATAAGGAACGACCTAGACACCTTGCAAGTCTTAAAAAGAAGGCTTATATAGGTTTGAAAAAAAACGCCATTAGATGTAAACACCCATCTACTCGTCTAAGATTGATAAAGCGACAAACATTGCTATAACAAAATTTAATCACATAATGTCTCTAAAGTCCATAAAATCTCTAAACAAATGGCCCTAGAGGTTGAAAATCAAATGAATGAAAGGTTCTCTAAAAGGATGGCCAAACGGGGCCTTCTAAAGTAAATACACCTAAAAAAGCATATAATGATTCTTAGAACGATGTAGGTTGCTTTGGTGGGAGAGATAATCCACTCTTTGAATCTACCTCCTCCACGAAAGTCCCTAACGATAGGAGAAACCATTTGTACTACTAGGGACCCTTTTATAGACCTTCATGATTGTGCATAGAGTAGAAATCATAATTCTAAGGCCTATAAATGAGAGACTCGAAGGGAAAATTATGTAAAAAGGTAAAGAGTACCTATCGAAGAAAAAGGGCTAGATTGTCAACATGTGCAACCTTTGTAACTCTGATTTTGAGTACATCTTAGGGGTTGTAAAACAAGCTTTTGGTTAAAAAGACAATAGATTTGTAGGCTTAATTACTTTTAACCACTTATATTGTAATTATATTGATAGAGAATATCCTTGTCTTTCTACTTTTAGGTTTCTAAACTTTACACTATTTAGTACACAAGAATTAGTGACTATAATAGAACATATTCCAAAGCTCATTTACCAATGCATAGAAGTTGTAGACTCGATTTCTTAAAAGTTATGTTATTCCTTAATTCCTTAACTAGAAGAAGGGGCATTCTCATGGTATTAATCTACCCCATAACTCTATATCCATGTATGGAGAGAAATACAAGCCACTTTTTAAGCCTATAAGGGTTAGATCTTGGACACCTACACTAACAAGATGAAGTCGAAGCACTAAAAAAAAGTCTTCTATTTCGCCTACTGAAGGGTTAAAAAAGCTCAAGGCTCAAAATAGATCAAAGGATGTAGTATGTTTTCATTTAAAAAGAAAAGATATTGGAAACACAGCTACAAGGAGTACTTAGTAGATGTGTAAAAGAAGAGTTCTACTAGCACCTCATGTATTTATGCTATTAAAGTGAATTTTTTACTTGTAATCTCATCTCATAAGTATATGTTACTAGATGTGGTACTCATATTTATAGAAATGTCGGGAGCTTAGAGAAGTAGGAAGATTGCTTCAAGGAAGGATGACTTACATGTTGGCAATGAATCAAAAGTTGAACAATTAGTTATAGGCATCTATAAGTTAGCACTACCATCCGGGCTTATGCTTGGACTCAATAGCTTTTATTACATTCCTAGTATAGACTAAGGACATTATTTTATTTCTTATTTGGAACGAGATGTCTTTCATTTTTATTTAAGAATAATGATCTTTTTTTTTTTTTTTAAGATGAAGCGTTATATGGAAATGCTTTAATTAATAATAGTTTGTATGTTTTGAACATAGTTAAACAATATACAACTTAAATACCAAAAGACCGAAATTGAATGATCTATATAAAACAAATTTGTGGCATTATCAACTTGATCATATAAATGAGAATTGTATATCCAAACTAATAAATGGATACCTAGAATTATTTGATGATGTCTATGAATCTTGTTTACTTGGTAAAATGGTAAGAATCCCCTTTTAGTGAGAAAGGAGAAATAACTAGTTATTTTAATTAGGCCTTACACATAAAGACGTATCTAGGCCCATGTCCATCCAAGCAAGAGAAGGATATGATTATTTCACAACCTTTATTGATGACGGATCATGTTTTGGTTATGTAAAGGAGACACAAATTTGAAGCCTTTAAAAAATTCAAAGAATTTAGATTTAAAGTCAAGAAACAAACCGACAAAAGTATTAAGGCATTTTGATCAAATCGAAGTGATGAATACTTAAGCAATGAATTTTTAGATGACTTAAAAGAGAATGAGGTTCTCTACCAATGGAATCCACCTAGAGAACCATAATTGAATGGTGTGTACGAAAGGAGGAGCGAGAAAGCTATTAGAATTGAGTATTCATGATTCCTTACTAGAGATCAATCTTGATTTATATATCAAGAGATAAAAGATATGCCTTTTTATCTTCTAGATACATTGCCAATATATTTAGGAGCCTCTTGAGTCACACGCATAAGTTTAAACATTCACACGATAAAAGAAAAGAAAAGTTTTTGGAAAAAGTTTTCTATTTTGGAAAGTTTCCTATTTTAAAAAAATGTTTCTTAAAATGGAAAGTTTTCTATTTTGGAAAAATTTTTTTGTTTTGGAAAAGGTTTCCTAAAATAGAAAATTTTCTATTTTAGAAATAAGTTTCTTAATTTGAAAGTCGGTTCTAAATGTGAAAGTTAGTTACCTAAAAAAGAAATTAGTTTCCTAATTTAGGTTTAAGGGTATTTTAGAAAAATTTTTTCTAATGTAGGCTTCACTAAAATAATTGACCTAATTTACTTAGACAGTCTAAATTAATTGATAATTAATTTAGCCAAAACAATTTGAGCTAATAGATTTAATTTAAAAGCTTACAAGATATTTTTATGGAGGGATAAACTTGAGCACTATTGGATAAGGCTCATGGATAAAATCAAACAAACTCCATATAGGTAGTATCTCCTTGACCTATAAGGAGAAGTTCCCACTCCCTATGTATAAGAGGGATGATAGAGACAATATGCAAGTAAGAAAAAGAAAAGAAACACACGACATAAGAAAAAAAAAGAGGAAAAATGTTTTTCTCCCTAAAACAAACTTGCCACATCTCTACCTAAAAAGCCAAAAGTTGGTGCAAATTACCCAATAGGATTTCTAGAGAAAAATTAACTACACGAAGGATTAGAGCTAGCACATTAGAATCTCTATTGCTTCTTGTATGAGTGTTTGAGTCGTGTGAATAATTAATAGAGTCTGGACACTTGGACGATTCTCTTTCGCTTGAATTATTTATATGCAACAAGAGGTAATT